GCTGAAAGTGGAAAAACCTGACTCAAGGTTGTTGAACATGCCACTGGCAAGAGGCAAGCAGCATGTGGGGCGGGGCCAGCTAGAGGAGACGCTTGCCACAAACAGAAACCCAAACAAAAATGTGGCTGCAACGGCGACGCCGACGCGACGTTGACTATTTGAATGTTGCAGCTGATGGATACACACAGAAACGAGCTGAAGATGCAGCAAGAATGCACACACACACACACATGTGTGTATACTAGTGTCTGTGTGTGTGTGTGTATTGTGTTACCAAACATTGACCCTAGCCAGGGCCATGGAGTTGTTGATAAGAAGCTGCCGCTGCCAAGAATTTAGCTCATTATGAGGCACAAAAAAACAAAAAAAGAAAGAAGCAAACTATTTGAATGAGCTGCCGGTTAAACGGGTTGCAGTTGCACTGACTGATTGATTGATTGATTGATAGCTTGCGCAAATCTGAGCACTCAAACTAAAAGCGAATTGCCAATAATTATGCTGGCTTTTAAAATTAGCGTAATTTCATTTTTTTTATGGCAGCTCTTCAACTTTCTCCTAAATTGAGGCAAAGTCATGCATTTTCCGCAATTTACAAACGAGAAAAAAGAATACGCCAATTTTGTGTCTCGGGTTAAGAACAAAAGCTGCTCAAAACGTGCAACGAGCTTAATGGAGAGTATTTCTACTTTAGAAGCATGTCAAGAGCTTGTTCTAAACGAATAACTTAGTTAATTGTATTAAGATATTTTCTACATTTAAGTAAAGTTTTAAACATTTGTTGAATTGTGCTACTTTTGCATACAAGCAGAAATTGTTCTTAATAAATAAATAATAATCCTTTCAGACGAACGTTTCAGCAAACGTTTCTTTGATAGGAATTTATATACACTGTAAAAAAAATGCAAACGCTTTGCAAAATCGCCTTTAAAAAAACAAGTTCCTTGTATCACACTTTTAATTTCTTAACAAATTTAAGTCCCATTACAAAAGAAAGAAAAAAAGTTTCTTAAGTTTCTATAGACTTTTTGTTGCTTGGAGTTGGAGTTGTTGTTTGGAGTTGCAAATTTGTTTTGAGTGTAGTGCTTCGTTTTCTTCTGGAGGCATACAAAGGGTTTACAATTGGTAAGTTTAAATACGATTTATTGAAATAAATTAGCAAAGTTTTGATTGCAGATAGACTCAAGTTACAATCCATATGCCTATAAGATATAGTACCCCGATTTTGATGAAACATTGCTGAAACTCTTATTAGCTGAGTTTCTTTAAGTTAACTTGAGAAATAAACAAGGTTTTCTTACAAGAATTCAAACTTTGAACTATATATAAACATATGATATAGCGCTCCGATTTGCCCAACTTCAACTTTCGGTCGAAGATGTGTTTTTCAATCAATCATAACTCAAGGCATAAAACCAAGTTCACAAAAATGTGTTACAGTTTAAAGTTTGCTTTAAAGTTTGCTTTAAACCCCTTTTGAAAGCCGCTTTTAGAACCTTTTTGTAGCTTCCCTAAAACCGCCAATAAATATAAACAATTTCTTAACAAATCCAAAAAGATCAAAGATCTGACGCTGAATCAATTCGAATAGTTTTACAATCCGGTTTACATAGCCCGCGACTATTTCCTGATCAACTTGTCGAGACGTTTTCAGCGAACGGGTCATAAAAATAGCTAGAAAAGTGAGTAATCGGGTTTAAGTTACAGGCTACAATGCGGCAAATTGTAATAGTTTATCAGTAAGTAAAATATAATATATATGTGTGGGGTTTATGGAAGGAAGATGCAAACTTTTCGGCACAACTTTGATGATAAAACAGGAGCCTACTTTGAGAATGTGTAATGTGGCTGCTTTTAAGAAATGAACTAGTTCATAAGTGCTTAAGAGCTATTCAAGCCAAATGTATTCAGTGCTTCAAGTTGTTTAGATCAAAAGGAATAAGCCCGAATAGGCACTAAAGAAGTCAACTAATGCCTCACGCAGGCGATCTCAGCTCTTAGTGTATAGTTGATGTCAACTTTCAGACCGAATTCTGCGCTCATTTTGGAGTCTTTGGATTTACCTTTTAAAAGGGGCCCTTTAAGACCTTTTGTATGCCAAAACAATTATGCAGGCAGCTGGAACTGAAGCTGGGGCTGAAGCTGGGCCTGTGACTGTGGCTGGGGGTACTTGGGCATTTAGGTGGCATCTCTAAGCTAAAGCCAAGTGGAGAGACCTCTTTCTGGCACTTGCACATCCTGTCGCCGACAAGTGAATCATTTGTGGCATGCAACAAAAAAAGAAAGAGAAGAAGAAAACAAAATGCCACATAAACTGCTGCAGCAAAGTGAGGCAGCTCCGGCATCTCGTCATGCAACTGTCGACTGTTTCATTCCATCCCCCCCCCTCCCATGCGGCCAGTTTGTCAGCAAGAATAATGCGAAAAAGAGGCCAACAGTTGAGTGGCAGCCTCGATGGTTGCAACTCCGTGCTGCGGCTGCCATTGTGGGGGTCTCTTCTTTTGTCTCTGGCTATGCGTGCTTGGGCGCAAATGAAGCGGCTGCCTCAAGAACTTGACTGCGGCCAGCTACTGTCAGCTGTTGCCTGCTGCACGCGCGTATCTTTAAGATACAAAGATACTTTTCGAGCAGGGGTGTGTGTGTGTGTGTGTATTTGCATGTCGCCGCATTAAATGGAAAGTGCTTGTAGCACAATTTTTGCACCGCGACTCCGAGTAGATTTTCCCTTTCAGTCCGCGCCCAAATAGTGCAAACTATGACTAAGCAGACGAGGGTTGCTTTCGATATTGTGCGTAGCAAGTGTGACCAGCTGCTAATATCGATAATTATCGATTTTGAGACATGCTTCTAAAGACTTAGCTCGAAAACTATAAAAGCTAGGTATGCCAAACTTGGCATGTAGTTTATCATGTAGTCTAAGCTGATTTTCAATATTTCACTTTTTGAATAACTCCTCCAACTATTCCTAGAATTGCCTTACAATCATGTTTAAAGAACGTTGTTGTATGTACACAATTTTATACCATATTTAAGCCCTGAAGATTTTAGCAACATTGCACTTCGAACTCGCAAGTTATTAAGGAAAGCTTTCCTTTGAAAATCGAAAGAAAGCAAATATTCTCAAAATCAATAAACAGATTTTAGTTTCCATTTTACAATGTTAAGGTCTGCCCTCGTGGCAGACGGCATTTGTTTATTTTCAGCTGAAATTTCTGCGTTTTATGTTTTGGAAGTTGATGTTTAATTTGTTCGTCTGTCTGTTGTTTTGGTTGTTGCCTGCTGACTGGCAGCTCATTGTTATTGTTTATCGTTTCATGAAAAACTTTCAAAAACTCACAGAGCCCCTGCAGAAAGAAAGTTCGTTGGCTTGGCTCACAGACTCTGAAACAATCACAAGTTTGATTAGCATAACAAAAATGATGACTAAAAATCTCTAGAGTTTGCCAACTCTTTGTCGCAGATGTCGTAACTGGTTTTTTTTTTATTTTTTAATTGATTAAAGTTTCGGTTTTCGTATGCCTTCGGGCGCTTTTCATTATTGAGCTCAATTATAAATGTGAGGCAAGAAATTGTGCGGCTTTGTTTCTTTCTGGCGACGGCTCGAATTTATGGAAATATTTTCATTATATAACATAAGATTTTCTTTTGCATAGTTCAACAAACCTGCTCTCTACGAAAATATTATGAATAGGCTTTGTTTACCTATGACTCAGGTGTATAAAAAAGGCGTCCATTTGAGAATATTTGCGCCTGAATTGAAGACCAGGCATAAGTTTCAGAAACTCAACTCGATCTCAACGCGCTTTGTGAACTTGTTTATTAATTATTTGTATACCAGATGTTTGTCATACTTTAATATAATATTATAATTAATATAAAATAAATTATATTAGTGGTATTCCACAGCAGAAAATAATTTGGAGGGCGCAAATTAGCAACTGCTAATTAAATTTGAGTGCAAACTAGATGCTCAAGAGTTCTACAGATTATTCAAGTGCAGATGGAACGCAGCAGTATTTTTCAATTCAACTAAGAAGACGTCTAAAATCTATATAACATAATGTTTAATATATAATCTATAATCTTTAATCTATAGTAATATATAATCTATCAACTTTAGTCTATAATCTATTATATATAATCTATAATCTATAAAACATTTAACTCTTCGACAATGCTAAAGATGACTGAAAAAAAGTCTTAACTGTTTGGCTAATACAGTTTTAGACACTTCGCTTAAGTCGCATGCCGTTCTTAACAGAATATAGGAAATCGTTTAGAATTCCCAAACAGTTCAAGCCTCAGCTTGGTTAATTGTGTCTTGCGTCATAGGTAGCACAGATCAAAGATCAGGCAAAGTCATATGTCAATGCCAGATATTATAACGTATAAGTGTTACGAATATGAACATAAATATATATTTTAAAGCCAACATACACCTCAGCTGCAAGTGGTTATTAGAAAGCTAACCTTTCTAGAATTTAACCAATTATCTTGAATGTGTCAACGCGACCTGAGTGCATTTTAGCTGCTTGTTATTATTTCAAAGTATTTGCCACTTGAAAGACTTATTACACCAATTTAACATGACAATTAGAACTGCGACACATCGAGCCGCTTCCTGTACAAAACTGCAGAGGCAACATCTAAAACTCACCCTAAATGAAATGACATAGTTTCATAGCTTCAGAACAGGTCTATCCCATTCAAACGCTTCGCCCCCGTCCACGCCCCTAGCCCAGACTAATTTGGAAATAATATGCTACCTCTGTTCACTCAGGCAAAGAAACCCAACAAGCTAAAATCTGTAAAGAATCTGTGTTGTAGTGTTGCCAAATCTCGCCGTAAAGTAGCTAAAAAAGCTAAAGCCAAAAAATAGCTGACAAAGCTTGCTAAACACAAATTGGCAAGAGCAAACAAGCTAGATCTGCGTAATATGCCAACTGTTTCCAGCTGAAAACCTCCGCGCCTAGCTAGAAAATGGCTAAATTGGCTGCACTTACCCTCTGTAACATGCCCCGATCGAGGCAGCGCATCCTTTTTGGGCACGGCGGCCGTTGTCGTTGTGAAATTATTCATCTCACTCTCTTTTGTTGTTGTTCAGAGGAAGAGAGTTAGAAGAGAGAGAGAGAGAGAGAGAGAGAGAGTAAATGCTCTTGTTGCTGTTGTTGTTGCGCTTGAACAGGTGTTTTAATTATGAGCTCAAGGACGTAGCTTTTGTTGTTCTTGTTGTTGTTTTTCGCTCAATTTCAGTTTCAGGTTTCGGTTTGATGCTGCCGCGCCTTCCAGTTGAGCGGCGTCAGCGTCGACGTCGACGTCGGCGTCGCTTTCAATAGATAAACAACAACAAAAACCTGACTTGCTTTAGTTTTTTTTTTTTAGAAATTTTTCACTTAATTGCGTCTCGTTTATGCTGTGTGGCATCCACTTGTGCTTAGTTATGCTGCTTGCAACGCATTTCACTTTCACGCCACGCGATTTATTTATAAAATTCACACCAATTACACAAACAGCAACACACACAAACACAACACAAACAAAACGCGCGCGTCCACGGGGCAGCTGCAATTGAAGTGTCTGCTGGCTCGCAGTTTTGCCGCAAATGCTTGACGCGTCCGCAGCTCATGCAACAGCGAAAGCCGCTCAACGAATGCGGCCATGGGGATGGTTGGCTTGGTGCCTAACATATCGATAGCTCGATAGTTTTCGTGCAACCGAAACTATTTTGAATATTCAAATTGCGTGTGCGCATCAAAAATACTAAAAATATAAATTGAGTGTGAATCGCACTAGTTCTTAATGTCCTAAAAACTCAGCAAACGAGTAAGTCGAAATTTTGGAGCCAGTTTAGTTAATTATGAGCCCGTTAATAACTATCGATATATCGATAAGCAACGGCAGTTGAGCGCGCCAAGTGAAAAGTGTTGCCAGACGCTAGCAAAAAATTTGAGTTTGCGTCAAAAACTAAAAACGGTTTTAACAGATAAATGTATAATTGAATAGTTGCAAAATGCATTATAAATATATTAAGTAAAGTATATTAAACATAAATAATACCTATATATATATATATTTATATAATATTTGTTAAATTCACAGAGTTTTCCTGCGCAGCCAAGACACCAACCCGCCAAGACTAAGCCAAGACACACACCTTATTTCAAACTGTGCAAGCTGCGTTCGCTCAGAACTGGTTTCGCTCTGCGCATAGCAACAATATTTAACAACAAATTACAGCTTACAACAATTAACGCATCACAGTGTTATTGTTGACTCATGACGTCAAGTGCTTGTACATATTTATAGGTGCTTTAATACTGAATTCAACAATATCTCAATGCTAGTTTCAAGTAGCAGGTCTGAAGCTGCAACTTCCTAAATGCCTTGCAGACAAATTGCGTTGATTTCTCTTTTTGTTTTTGTTTAATAAAATGACATTTCATTCATAAAAATAAACAAACTCAGGTGTTGGAGAAACGCAACTGCTGAGCACATGAGTCAACGTAGTTGTTGCCTGATAAAACGGGCACTTTGGCAAACGGAAATAAAATCTTATTAATTTTTGCTGTATTTGATCTCTAGCAAATTTTAGGAATTTCGTTGGCACCCAGCAGCCAAGTTGGGTTCAAAGTATGCTCACAAGATACTCAGCGCAAATTACAGAAAAAAAATGAAATAAAATAAAATAAATAACATTGGCGGGTTAACTTTTGGCGCGCCGCAGTTTAAATACCCTCTCAGACTTGCTTCTATTACATTTTTCAGACACAAGTTTTATTTACGAGCAGTTGTTCTCATAGAAGCCATCAGATTAGCTACAGGCCTGCAGATATGTGGAGAAAATTGTAGAACTTGCAATTGCAGAGCTTGGTGAAGTTTTCCGGAACATTTTCTATTTCGCTTGATACTTTCTATAGATCTATATGCTATAGCAATTCTATGTTATGTTGATTTAATTTCATAAATCTATAAAATTGTGTCTTAATTTTAATTTTTACAAATATTTTCATTTAACGATTAGTTGTAACCCTTCACGTAGCGACTGACAAAATGGAAAGGGTATCAAAACAAAAATGAAAAACAAAACTCAGTTAGCTAAACCACGTACGCTTACCAATACGTGCATAATATGCACCTATACATGTGCCATGGGCCTAGAAAATCAGTTACCTGCCATTCGCAGATACAATTGTATTTTGAGATAAATATGCGCGTGAGAGAGGAGAATCGTTAAACAAATATAAACAAAAGTCAAGTCGAGAAGTTGAGCGCATTTTGCTACTGACAACGTGTGTGAGTATCTTTCTAGCAGGCACTATACATATACGTGTGTGTGTGTGTGTGTATCTGTGTGTGTACTCCGAGTTCGGTTTGGTAAGAGTCAACCACGCGATCGCTTTTGTTGCCAGTTTCGCGTTGAGTGTGGCTCGAAGCAAGTCGCTGGCGGCAGACAAAGACGAAAACTCGAGACTCCGAAGGCTGCTAGATATTTTTTTTTTAAATAAACAAAAAAAGTGGAAATAAAGGTGTTGCATTGAAAAGAAAAACTGTTAACATTTGTGGTTCATAGCTTGCAAATAGATTTGGCAGGCTGCCAAAAACAAGGCACAAAATTTGCACAAGTGAAACTAGTTTGAAAAGCGGCTCACACACACACACACACACACACACACCCTCTACACTCAACTCAAACTCGAACTGGACTCGACGCTTCGCGATCCCAAAAACGAAACAATTCAAAAAGAAAGACGCTTGGCCAACTAGTTAGCCAGCGTGCGGGCCGGGCTATGAATCATAGCCAAGCGTGCGGCCAGCCAACAACTTCAGCAGAGCCCATCTCAGCGCCTGTGCGCGCTATGTAAGCCAAACAAAGACAAAATCGTAACAAGAAGCGGACAAGTTAAGGCACGCAGTAAGGAGTATTTGAGAGTACGTTCCATGTCTGGCCGGGAAATGCGTCCACTCTCGCTCTCCATTGGCGCCTCGCTGCTGCCCAGCTTCTCGCTGGCCACCGCCGCCTCGAATAATGCCCGGGGCGGCGACAGCGGCAATTCTGGCCGGGATTGCTATGGCAAACTGTGTCATCCCGTGGATGAGTACTGTTCCATGTTCGCCGAGAGCTGTATGCCCTGCGCGAGCATCTGTGACGACAGCTCGCACAACTATCATGCGGACACCTGCATCAAGGAATGCTCAGGTGAGTCGACTGATTACATCGCCAGCCATTTGCCATGTGATTGGCCCTGTAATTAAATTGAAGTTTTCCATATATATTGCGAGGTTGACAAAAAAGGGTATATGCAGTGAGGCAGAAAAAAAATGAAATAAATAAATAAGCTAAGGAATAAAGTAAATAAATTGACTAAAGAGAGAAGTTACTAGTACAAATATTTACAAAAACATTTCTTTCAGAAAAACGTTTTTTTGTTTATATTTACGCCTCTTTTTTAAGAATTTGGGATATCAATTTGGTAGAGTGTGGGCTTTCTCAAGTATATTTTGCAGCCACGCCCATCAAGTTCGTTTAACCCACAAAAATAGATCTTTATCAACCACAGCTTACGAGTTAGATCCAAAGATCGAGTCAAGAATAGCTCATCCTAGCTCCCTCTTTTCATATTTCCCAAAGTCACAGTTGAAGGAGCACTGAAAGTTTTAGAGTCACCAGACCGGCGAGACTCGAGTAAGTGGCAGAGTATTGCGCAGTCGGTGGCAACCGGCATTTTTATACACTGAACCCATTAAAAATGGGTATAAGGGTATATTGTATTTGTGCAAAATCCAAATGTATGTAACAGGCAGAAGGAAGCTTCTCCGACCCCATAAAGTATATATATTCTTGATCAGCACCAATAGCCGAGTCGATCTAGCCATGTCCGTCCGTCCGTCCGTCCGTCCGTCCGTCCGTATGTATGAACGCAAGGATCTCAGAACATATAAGAGCTAGAGACTTTGAAACTTTAGATGTAGGTGCTCCTAGTTCCCAAGCAGATCGAGTTTGTTTCCGATAATCGATAACTTACTCCGATTCCAAGCAATCGATAAAAATCGATATCTATATCCTGTTTTTTGGGCAATTTTGGTAAATAATAAGAGCTAGAGTCACCAAACTTGACATATAGCTTCTAAAATAGAATATATATATGCATTTGATGTTGGAAGAGGAGGGTTCAGGGTATTCCCTAGTCGGAAGCTTCCGACTAGAACCTCTTACTTGTTTGGTACTTCTCTCGTCTCTCTCGTCTCGAGCTCACAGCAGTTAATTGTAATTGCCTAAACAATTGATTAGCTCATTGTTGGTTGACTATGCAAATTCTATTGGGTACTCGATAAGTAACTGTTGGTATTAACAGGTTCGCGGGTTTTTGTTTAATATGTTTGCTTGTCTGTATTGAGCCGGAGTTTTTTAATGGTTACCTAATCATAAAATGGACTGCAAGCACAAAAGTAAAATTTCCGGGTTTCGTCTTGTGGCTGGAATCATTTTTCCTGCCTCTCGCTTCAGTTCATAATTTTGTATTTTAACTAAAATAATTTTTATATAAATTAAGATTTTAATTAAAGAATATTTAATAAAAGTAAACAGTATTTAATTAAAAAAGAAATCATTTATAAATAATTCAAAAGCCCTTCTCTTAAGCCTTTGCTTCAGGCTTGGGAACGCCTACTTTTTGGGCTTCGGTTTGGGTTCAAGCATATTAATGTGATTATTAAACAAATATATATTTTTGTTCTTTATAAGGATTCCCTATCATTAACATTTAATCAGTATTCGTGAGCAGAAATGCTAAAAATATTAATCAGACCTTTAACTTTTCCTGGCTTAGATGGCTTTCGGCTAGAACCATTCGAACCAGCATCCGCCTCTTTGCCTTAACGTTTGTGTCGCTCAACCATCAGAGATTCGAACCAGCATCCCCCGCTTTGCCTAAACAATTAAGTCTTGTAGACAACACTTCCATTGAGAAACTGCCAAAACCTAGCAAATTTCTCTTGATCTCATTTCCAGCCTACACCAGCTATGAGCCTCTCAAGGCCGACATACACAACATCCAGAGCAATCAGCAGATAATGATGCTGCTGCTGAGCATTATCTGTATACTGATTGCCCTACGTTATGCGATGAAGTTACTCAGCTGGTGCCGGCACAGCAACTGCGTGCAGCGCTTGAAGAGCCGGCTGCTGCCCAAGCCGCAGCAGAGCAATGCCAATGGCAAGGATCTCAATGCCACGACGATGCAGAATCCGAATGCCTTTTACCGTGACATTGAGCGGGCACCTTCGCAGATTAACAGTGTGGCAGGTAGGCTACGATTAATTTGACTACCTGCATTTTGAGCAATCATTCATATTGCAATCGTTTTATATTCACAAGCAGGCGCTGCCGAGGGCTCCGTGCTGACCACGGCGACGCCGTTGAGCACACGCTATCCGGCAGAGAATAGCACGACACCAACAACGGTGGTAACTGAAATCGGGTATGTTTATGATAATCAGGCAATGGTTGTCACGCCCGTTAACGAGAAGCCCGGACCGACCGCCATGGCTGCCTTTTAATGAATTTCTCATCCGGAAATGTCATCTCAAACCTTACGAGCAACAATGTGCATCAGATTGAAACTAGTGATATTTTGTATATTTTGAAAAACATGTTTTCCATTGATATTGAGGAACGCTGAAATACATTACTTTAAGAATATTATGGCCTTGAATAGAAATACACAACACTTATAACATTCAAAAAGTGCTAGATCGTTAAGCAATTCGATTTTCGATAAATTGTGGCGGCCGGCCGATTTTTTTTTTGAGAGCAGTTAATCAACACATAAACTGTTATGTGCGATAAATTGTGGCGGCTGGTTGATGCACTTATCAGTGTTGGTAAATGCAGTAGCTGTTGATCGTGCTTTGAAATCCAAAGAAAAAGGCCGTGTTTTAGCTTACAAGTATTGTCATTTATTTTAAAAATTCGTAATTCAAATCGTTTTCTAACACAAAAGACTCAACATTGTATAATATTGAAAGTTGGCAAACTCTTACGACTATAAATCATACATATATAGATGTATATATATGGCAAAATATGTGTATGGCTATTCAGTAGCAAATTTACGTGGTATCAAATGCTTTTTAGAAACTAACAAAGTCCGTTTGCTTACAACTAGAACGTGCGAATCTCATAAATCAGCCTTAAACATATCTAAAACCTATTGCTAAATAAATAAGCTAAGTCTAATTGTGTCGTAATTGTGTTCTGCTCCTCAGACCCAATACTGATTTCTGCGCAGCAACGGATTTGTGGGCGGCGCCGAGGGCGGCGAGCTAACGGAGCCGGAAATCGATATGCTCTGCGGCACGGATGCATAGCCGGCAAAATCGTTGGCCATGTCGCAGGACGAGCTCCAGGCATCGTGCTCCACGTGATAGGGATTGTAGCGTTGCGGCAGCATCATCTGCTGCGGATCGCACTGATCGTCCGTTTCATCCTCATCGGGATCGTAGCCGGGATACTCGTGCTTGTACGATTCAACGGGTATGATCTTGCAGTGCGGTATATTGCTGAAGCCCGGCAGCGGCGTGGAATTCCCAGTTGCCGGCACCGAGTCCGCCTCTGAGCTGGCATAATGATGATGATGATGATGGTGATGCTGTGGACTGACCGATGTCAGGTCAGGCGGACAGGGCAGCGGCGGCGGCTGATCCTTGGATATGTCCGCCTTACGCTTGCGCATATGCCGCATCTTGAGCAAGAGCAGCACGAGCAGCAGACAAATGAGGAGTATGAATAGGGCACAGCCGACGGCCAGGTAGTTGATGGATATATCCGCATTGCCCAGATGCACCGTTTCCGTTTCCTGCAACTGGGCGCGATACTCAATGGCGACTGTGGCCTGTGCCGGCTGCACGGTTTTGATGAGCAGCTGATAGTCAAAGCTATCGGTGTCCAGTTCCGTTTCGTCCACGGAAGCGTGCGGCACAAAGTAGACGACACCGCTGCGCAGCTCCTTGTACGAGAAAATGTTGGTGGAGCGTTCGTTCTGGGCATCGCCGCCATTGAAGCCCGTCGTGCTGCTGCGTATGATCTTCCGCAGCTGACCCGTGGCCGGCATGCGCGTTATGACAAACTTGGGATTGAATTTGTTCAGCTTTAGCGAGAGCGGATTGTCATTCACCAGATAGCTGGTCAGCCGGATCTTGCCGGCCGTCGCACCCGTACCGGACTCCGCCTCACGCATGGCTATGTCGTTGATCTTGATAACGGGCTCCACATGGACCAGCACGTCCACCTGGGCGGCATAGTTGCTGCCCGGCACATAGGCGCTCACCTGGAACGTGTCATTGGAGCGATTGAGATCCGTTTGCATGTAGCTAATCTGCGATGTCTCCAGCTGCTGCTGATTGAATCTCAGCGTCGGCTGATGCTTAAACAAGATGATTCCATACAGCGGCGAATTGGTTATGTTATAGGCCAGCCGCTCCAGCTGCACGTTCGTGCTCAGGCCAATCTGCTCCAGCCTCATCGGTGCACTGGTCGCGCCCTGCTGCAGACTCACGGGCGTCTGTGTGCCCGCCGGCAGCAGACTTATGGGCGACACCTTAATCGTGAATATCTCATAGGCTGGATTAAACTGGCCATCGGTCACGGTGAAGCAGAAGGTCGTCGACTGCGGCATGCCAAAGTGCACGTAGATGATGCGATCGTTGTTGATGTCCGCCTGCGTAAATTGATTGGAGAAGGCCAGCAGCTCCTCCGGCTGGCCATCGTTGTTTAGCTTCTTGAGCACGCCCAGCGTCGGGCCGCTCATCACATCATAAATAATCTCCTCCGGCGGCGTATCCTTATCCTCTGTGAGCAGCACATTGCGTGTTATCGTCCGATTCTCGCCCTCAACCACCGTCATTTGCGGCAGATGGGTGACCAGCTGGAAGGGCTGATCGTTGATCGGATTTATGGACACGGGTATCGTCAAATTGCACAAAAATATATTTCTGCAAAGGTAAAAATATAATCAAATAATTATTTTAAATAATATTATCTCTTTTCTAGATATTTCTATATGCTGAAAAAGATCTGTGACCCGAGAACCAAGAGTATTTCCAACTCTCGTTCAACTTACCCCTGCGTGAGATACACGCCCATGAGTATGGTGTCCTCCAGGGTATCCGTGTGGTCATGTATGTAGTACACCTTCTTGGTGAAGAAGTCGCTGGGATGATATCGTTGCATGGACTTGAACTCGTGGCCGAGACCAATGCTGCCGTGCGATGGCTTCTGTGCGGCCTCTATAAACAGTTCCGGATTGTTGATGCCCGCACGTGTCTTCAGATACTCCAAGATCTTGGAGAAATCCAGTTTGATGGGCACCGAGCCGCCCTCGTCCACGGTTAGCTTGGAAACGGGCAGGAATCGCAGTAGGCCACCCGATGATACCGATATTTCTATATTGAACTTCTGGTCCAACAGGCGATCGCTGCGCTCGGCCACCACGTCAAAGTAGAAGGAATCATTGATGCGGAACTCCATAATGACCGCCGTGTGCTCATAGAAGATGTGCCCGTTGTCCACATCGTTCTGGGTAAACTCGCTGATCTCCTTCGCGTAGCCATTGCCCAGATACTCGTTGACAATCCGGCCCAAACTGGGCGGAACTGTCACATTGTAGCGTATCTCGCGCTCCTCGTCCGAGCACTTGTAGTGCAAATGATCTCGCAGGATTTGCTTCTTGGTTAGCGGAAAGACGTGCAGATTCTCATTACGCTCGACCAGAATCTCAATGGGCTTGATCTCTATGTTCAGCAATTGGGTGCTGGTATTGAATAGTCCATCCGTAACCACAAAGGAGAGCTCGTTCCGCCGTGAGTTTGCATCGTGCATGAAATAGATCTTCTCGGCATTGATCTGCGCCTGCGTAAACTGTTCGATCTTGTGCAGCGTGGAGGATTTCTCGGCCAGATAACCGCCGTAAATGTGATGCACAATGTACGTGAGATTCTCCGGCGGCGTGTCATAGTCCTGGGCCACTAAAAGGAGAGTTAGTCTATCGGTCAATCAATCAATCAATCAGTCAGTCAACTTACATAGATCTGTATTCCGGATGACGTAGCGACCGCCATTCCATACCTGCAGACCCGTATTGGTGACCATCATTGGCTCCTCATCGTTGACCGGCACCACCGCCAGCTCCAGGTCAAAGGGCACGCTCTCCTTGTTCCTGGCCATGGCAACCATGGTAAGGCTATCCGTGCTATTCTCGCTGCCATTGTGCACATACTGTATGCTGCCCTGTTCGAGTTGTTTCTGGGTAAAGCGCTTGACCTTCGAGCTGCCCGCCAATATATGACCCGAACTGGGCGTTATGGTGACTATATACTCCAGGATCTTGCCCCGATAATACTCCGAATAGGGCTGTATATCCGTGGCGCTCAGCTGCACCGTCTTGCCCTCCACCACGGAGATGATGTTCGCGTGCATGTACAGCTTCTCCGGTATGATGACGATCTTCAGCATCAGCTGACGCAGCCAGGTAATCCCGTTGGTCACATCGAACACAAAGTAATCCGAGGATTGATTAACACCCGCTTGAATATAGAACATCTTTTCCGTATTAACCGACGACTGATCGAATACCTTGCAGTTGTATTCATCGTCAAAGGACATCGACTGCATTTCCAGATACCCGTGCATCGGCGACGAAGTTACCAGGAAGGTTATGTCACCCGGCGAAATGTTGGGATGCACGACCTGAGATCAGATTGGATTCGTTTAAGTTTTATGTTCGAAATAACTGCTTCTCCTTCACTTACCTCCAGAATGTCACGTGAGATTAGGACACTCGTTGACTCCTCCACATAGAGCGTGTGATTCTGTTTCACATGCAGCGGCTCCCAATAGGCGGAGGGATAGATCCGAAAGATGACCTCGCCCTCAGCTGTTATGTTCTTAATGTGCACACGATATCTGTAAAGAGATCATTTTAACGATAAGAAAATCAATATATCTTCTTAATCATAGAAATAATTCATGGTAAAATATTATTTAGCCGAAAAAATTTAAGTAATATTGGATTAATATCGATCTACATTATAATGTAGCTCCTATAGGAACAATCGCAAGGCAGAGAGCATTTACCCCTCCTCGACATTTTGACTCGCGTGAGCGTGGGAGTTAATTGATGCTTTTACTGTAAATGCTTAAAATACCGCTACATGTTTTGACCGCAGACAGCACTCGCAGCAGAGAGCGAGCATTGTGAATCATATGAGAGGGAGAAGTGAGTATTTATATGCGCACAGCGTCCACGCCATTGGTCGCACTGCTTTCGATCCCGTTATCAAAAGTGTGAGCGCAGGAGTTGTAATATTTGTGTGCTCTTTGTTGTCATAGTATTGGTGTGAGTGCTGGCTTAGCGTAGGCGCGAGCTTAATAAGGCGATTTAGTCTGTGCGCGTCTGTCCTGTAAACCGGTCGTGTTTTTTTTTTCGCGCGTGTGTATAAAAGCGTTTGCTCACAGAGTAAAATCAACTAAAACGCGAGTTATTTGTGCCGCGTGTGTTTGTTTACTGTCATATATCATGTGTTTATATATGTATATGCATATTTCCGTTCTCAAAGTGATATTAAACCAGTGGTAAAGTGCGTATTTGTTGGTGCACAACTTTTTCACCAGCAAAAAATTGGCGCGCATTCTAACTGAATCCACAG